TCTTTACATCAATCTATAAGTGAGTTTAGAAAGAGGATTACTTTATGCATTATGCCATGCTTTCAGGTCTTGTTTTGAGGGGCTTGGTTGTACCCTAGTAGAGGAAATATAATTGATTTCTAGCATGTATTAGTTGTTGATAGAATCAGTCTTTTTATTTATTTAATTTATTAGTGACAGGAATATTCAGCTCAGACTCAAACCCGTGAAAAACAATAAGCTGTTTAAATTCCAGTGTACATGAAGCAGGTTCTGCACCTAAGTTATTCTTTTTGGATATTTATAGTTGCGTTTCTATATTTGTAGAGGGAGACGACAAAGAACATTTTTGGAAAGCTGGTATTACGATGGGGTGAGAGAGAGTGCTTCCTAGTGCCTTTCTGGGAGTTGAGCTATTTCTTCTGACTGAGATTTTTCTAATAAGCTAAAGATAGTATGATAGTTAAAATCTGTCAGTGTTTACTCTGATCAGCCAAAGGCACATCTTTTTAAAAATTTGTTTTACTTTGTTCTTGAGGTGGAACCTCATCGTGTAGCCCAAGCTGTTCACTAAGGTGACAATATCCTGCTTCATTCTCCTGAGTTCCAGGATTAAAGTCATGAGCCACTATGCCCCACAAGTACCGTACATCCTCTCGAAGTGCATGACACACCTGAATGAAAATGTCATTTTAACCTTTCACTTTGAAAAACAAATATACACTGGCAATCATTTAAACAGTATCAATACAAATTAAATATATAAACCAGTAATTACTGTTCCTTCATATTTTGTTAACTGAAACAAACCTGAAACATTCCAAAACACATGTTCTCAATTATTTATGGGAGCTTTAAAAAGTTTCTCTCCTAGAAGAGAATATAATAATAATCACTAAAGGCTAGGAAGGTTTCAAAATGGTTACCAGCATACTGTTAAAAGGAATAAATTCTGTAACACAGTAGGTAACTACAGTTATTACCATTATTACAATATTTCAGAACACCTAAAGCAGTTCAGAGACATGCCCAATATTTAGAAATGATGAATACTGGAAAAAATGACAATGGAAATTATCTTGATTTAATCGTTATACCTTGTACACATGTATCAAATTATTTTATGCCACATAATAGTATATAAGCATTTGGTCAATTAAAAGACTTTAAAAATAAAAAGTACTGTTCTTTCTGAAACCATGAACATGAAAGAATACTAGAGTACTGAAGTGTGAGCAACTGTGTGCGTGTATTTGTATGCACAATTACAGACAGTGTAGAATGATGACAAAAGAAAAGATTGTCTATAATTACAATACTTAAAGATGACCAAAATTGTGTTTTTTCCACATTGGTAAATGTATTAATAATATTGCTATATTTATTTACTAATTAGAAATCATATACTGCAAATCAAAATCCTTTGATATTCTTTTTTCAATAGCATATTTTGAGAGTTTTTCCATGGCATTAGACAGTTAAAAACATTCTTTTGGCAAGCACCCAGGTGCTTGTGAAAATCAGTCTGGAGCTCAGGAGTTCAAAGACAGGCTGCGTAACCAAGTGAGACTTTATCTCAAAATCAAATATAATTAAATTAAATTTTTAAATATTTTATGGTTGTGTAATACAATATCTGGATGTGCCATAATTTACTTAACCATTAAATTTTAACCATATTCATAGCTTTTCAATTATTGTCCATTAGAAATAATTCCCATAAACCAGGTGAATTAGCATACTGTTATAGTTCCAACACTTCAAAGGTTGAGAAAATTGAATCACTTTGAACCCAGGAGTTCTTGGCCAGCTTGGGCAACATAGCAAGACCCTGTCTCAAAAAAGCAATTCCAAGATAGCATTTATTATTGTTTGAAAATTTCATATATGCATATAAAGTGTTTTGATCAATCCCACCCCCCATTCACTGCCTTCTAATGTATGCCCTATTACCTGTAAGAAATATCTTCAGTTAGGGTGACTCAGGGACTCTTGAGAACATGCTAGACTTGAATGAATTAAAACTCTTGGTACCAGAGAGCCAGAAAGATGGCTCAGTGCATAAAAGCGCTTGCTGCACATGCTTTTGAGGACCTGAGTTATGATCTCAGCATCCAAGTATAAAGCTGGGCAAGGCTGTGAGTGTGCCTGTAACCTCAGTACTTGTCAGGGGCGGAGTTATGAGAATCACTGCAGCTTGCTGGCTGCCAGCCTAGCTCCAGGTTTAGTGAGAGACCTTGGCTCAAGGGAATAAAGCAGAGAGATAGAACAGAACATCTGGCATCCTCCTAGCATCTGTAAGGGAATGTGCACAGGTGCATTCACCTATCCACACAGACGGGAAACACACACACACACACACACACACACACACACACACACACGTACGTTTTTGTTGCTTTGGGAAATTATGATGATCCATGTCACCTCTAAAGACCTAAACTATCTGTCAAAATGGATAAATAACAGATAAGCAGCGTTTTCTTCTAAATCCTAGCCAAAGTAGGGGATTAAATTTAAGAAACATAATATCGAAGTGAATTTTTTAAATAAATATTTTCATTTTTTATTTTTATTGAATTTTTGTATATTTCAAAAAGAGCAACTTAATCATCTTCATACCCCCTTCCCCATCGACACCCTTGCATAGACTCCCCAGTGGATTTCATGCATTCTGTCATTTGTGTTAAAGCCTATCGAATCAAGTTAGTGTCCCCTGACATCCCTCCATGCAAGTTTATCCACTGGGATCTAGTCAGCCTATCTAGAGTCTCTCCCTTAACGAAGATCAGCTCTTCCTCACCCAGCAATAATCAGTTGTCCAATATTTCTTTGGCTAAGATTGGGAAGTGCTGCCCATTTCCACAGTTCTATGCTGGATTTAAAAGAATGAGCAGCATATATAAACATGATCACCTTTGCCTAGTTTAAATTTTGTCACATGACATTTTTTTAGACAACTTAGAAAATAAACCTACTGGATATATTGCCATCCATTGATAGCCACTGTCATCAACTTACAGAATATTTTTTTATATATGTGTCTTTTTTCCAGGAGGTGCTGGGGATCAAATCTTGGTAGTCTATCATTGAGCTGTATCACTAGTCCAGTATCTGTTCTTTAATGAAATGATGTGTTTTATTCCTTTGAAAATTTGCATCTTTCACTTTAAATATATCATAAATCTTTCTATTTCATTGATTATTCCTATATAGCTTCATTTTTACCACTCTGCAATATTCATTTGTGTGGACTTAGTCACTGTATTAGTATTTATGTTACTTTCAATTTTTTACTATTTTATACAAATATTTATGTTATTGTTCATTGCTAAATCTTAATGCATATCAATAATTATTCTGTGTACAATCTGAAATTATAATATATAAACCAAAGATTAAGTATTTGGATGCTTTTAGTGCTATTGTTAGGTATATTAAGGCAGTTTAAATTCCAGAAATATGACTGCCTGTTTATCTGAACTCTTACCAATTTGCAAACACTGGAGATTAACTTTTTTTAGTCTTTGCCAATTAAATAGAAAAAAAGACCATACCTCACTGCTGTTTTAATTTGCATTTTGAACATTTTTATTGAAAACTTAGTGTCTTAGTTTCCTTTCTTATTGCTTTGATAAAATATTCTGCTGCAGGCAACCAAAGAGTGAAAGGGTCTATTTTAGTGCACAATCCATCATGACGGAGGAACTCACAGTGGTATGAGCTTGATGCAACTAGTCCCATCCTGTCCGCAGTAAGGAAGCAGAAAGCAAGGAAGCAGAAAATGTTGCTCATTTTCTTTCTGTGCTTATACAGTCCAGGTTCCACTGCCAAAGAAATGGTCCTATCCACAGTTAAGATGTACTTCCCACTTACTGTAATCAAGATAATCCCCCACAGCCATGCCCAGAGGCCCATCTTCCAACAGATTCTAGATTCTGTCATGTTGACAATTTACACTTACCATTACAATTATCTAGTTCATTGAATTACTTTTTTTTCACCTAAGTCAGTAGAAAGAGGGTTATTTTCTAAAGTCCAAGTTAACATCACACTCCCAATCCTCCTGCTTTTGCTTTCTAAGTGCTGGGATTATAAATGGACTATGGGGTAACCATGCCACATTACAATTACCTGAATAAAACAATCTGAATCATTATGTAGTTTTTAAGAGTGACCCTAAACTCAATGGACACCCGTTTCCACACATGTCTCTTGGAACTGTGCTGGAACTCTGTCCTCCAACTGTGCTCTAGAACTGTATCCCTGAGTCAGGCGTAATCTATAATTTTGTTCAAAACTGTTTCTTCATCAATTGGGGGCATGCAAGCTTGAATCAACCCTTATCAGACAATCTTGCCTTTTTATCCCTAGTTTAAGAATATCTCAAGTTCAGGACTATTTTGTACAGACAATGTCAAGCATCCTTTCTCAATCTTCATATTTTCAATGAAGATGGGCATGCTATCTTTCAGTGCTTTGCTTTGTTGATTCTCAAGCATACCACATTCACTCCCTATCTTAGAGTAGAATAGCAAATTGAGGTTCCCAGGAAACAAATAAGATGCCCAGGTCACAAAAGTGCATGGTTCAGTGAGTTTGTCAAGGTTAACTAAAAGTCGTTAGTTCAGGTTATGTCAATTTTATAAAAATCATTCTTATAATGGGCTCTACAATGCCCAGCCTTCCCCATTCATGTTTAATTTGTGAGAATTTTTGTAAGTGTGTTTTCATTTTTCATGGTCAACCCATAATTTATTATTTCTCTTTTGTCCATATTCTGTGTCTTTAGGCAATATTTTCCCCCAAAACTAAGGACTGAAACCAGAGCCTCATGCTTGCCAAGCACATACTCAACTACTGAACTATAATTCCAACATGAAGAGTTGAATAATTTTAGCTTAAAAATTTCACAGTTTTTTAAAGTTTTAGGTTCCTAGGGCATTATTTTGAATTGTTTCTTGGTGAAAACCATAGTTTTTTCTGTAAATGACTACTTTTTGGTCTTCCTTTATTTCAAGGATGGCCAAAGCTTTGAAATTGTGAATGAAGGAACCTTTTCCAAAGAAGTGCTCCCCAAATACTTCAAGCATAACAATCTCTCCAGCTTTATAAGACAGCTCAACATGTGTAAGTATGACTTACTTCTGTAAGTAGGTAAGACCTTCTAGGCACATCAGGATTTTAGTATTGAAATATCAATATTTAATGTATTTTCAAAAATAATCCATTTTATTTTAATTGTATGAATATCATTCTGAGTTGAATGAAAGCTCTTACTACAATGTATTATTTAAATTCTGCTTAGCTTGATATGTTGGTTGAAGTTCCAAACATAAAAATTTCTTTTCTAGCAAAATTTTTGAGTTACAAAATCATAGAGCTCAGTGGGACCAAAGAATTATTGACTACTGTGTTAGAGCTAATGAATGGGGACAAGAGATATTAAGTATATTTGATCCAGATCATATAGATAGGCAAGTGATTACTTTGATTGACTGTAGATTAGTTTTTCTTTCTGTAATGTTTAGAATTTTGAAAGTCTAACATAGCAGAAATGTGAATTGCTCCTCCCCATTCATGGTGAAATTTTAATTGTCTTGATCTTGTATAGGCAATCACAGCTCTTATGGGTTCCTGTGTGTAAAACCACACCACACCATGAAGACATTTCACAAAATTACTCATCATCCTCTGGCTCTTATATTCTTTCAATCCCCTCTTTTTAAAACCACATAATTAGAAGAAGCATTTCATGACAGCATTCACATATTCAATAAAAATGTCCAAAGCAAAGATGCATCTCTTTCAGTATTGCCTGTAAATGTTTAGGTTCACAGTTGAATTAATACAGTTATAAAATATTGGACTCAGTATAAACCCTATGAGACATAAAATCGAATGAGGTGTTAACCTTTAAAAAAAAGATCTCCATTTCATTTTAAAATATGCTGCTTCATACAAAAAACTCATTTAAAAATATTTTATTTATTATTTTCATTTTATGTGTATGTGTGTATTGACTGCATGTAGGTAAGAACACCCATGTCATGCAATGCCCAGGGAGGACAGAAGGGGCCTTCGGATCCCCTGGAACTGGAGTTACAGACACTTATTAGCTGCCATGTGGGGGCTAGGATTCGAACCTGGATCTTCTGCAAGAACAACCAGTGTTCTTAACTGCTGAGCCATCTCTCCAACCCCAGAAAAACTCATTTTTAATGCTACTAACACTTAGATATTTTCACATGCATCTCTAATCTCTATGTATCTTATTATTGTAGTCACAGTCGATTACTATCTGAGATCCACCTGAGCATAGATATAAAATCATCGGATAGATTTCAGTGGTAATGTTTATCACCTCTACTAATTAACATGGAGCAAATTTTTATACTTCTTCCTCAAATATGACTCATTTTTTATTTGTTGATTTTTTTGTGTACTTCATACAGAACATCCCAAACAAACTTATTTGTTTACATACTTACATCCCAAATGGCACCCTCCTATAGTCTCCCCCCACACACTGGATCCCATATACTCTGTAATCCCTGTTACTGTCCACTGTGTTGTCTGCACCCGCAGCCATTCTCCAGTGCTTGTCCATCCTCTGAATCTAGTCAGCTTATCTAGAGTTCCTTGTTTTAGGAAGATCAGTTCTTCCTCATCTAGCAGCAATCGGTTGCCAGTATTCCTTTAGATAAGATTGGGGTCTGCTGTTCATTTTCCCAGTTCTGTGCTGGGTTACTGTCTGGGAGTCTCTTGGGCCACCCTGGCCAACAACTCAAAGGAAGCTACCTCCTGTCTGGAATTTTTTCTTGTTATGTAGCTTTTTTGGCTATACACATGGACTCTTAAGGAGTTACATTGATCCCTTTATTTTTGGTCATACTTTCCTTTTGGGAGTTTAAGACCTTATAGTTGGCCCGGATAAATCAATTTACTTTTATTCTTAAGGTCATTTTTGGATCTGTTCCTCAGGAGTCACATGGGCTTGGGAGGAGCCCCTGGCTCCTTCTTTTACCAGTTCCATCTATGTGAAGATAAGTCAAAGGTCCTACTCAACCATGGCTGGTTTCACTTGGAAGCATGGAGGAAATGTTTCCTCTGTGTTGAGACTGGACACTGGTTCAAGTCCATTTGTAGGGGTCTCCATGGCTTCCTTGATCAAGAGGACAGATGACACATGGCAGTTACAGGACATTTTGAGAGATACTCATAGTCCCCTGGAGGTTAGTCGAGCTAGGAGGGCAAGGAGCAAAACTGTTCTTTATGTCCCTCTGACCAAATTAGTATAGGCCTCAAAGTATGGCTGTTTGACATTGACGAAGGTTAGTTCCACCAATCTGGTACTTTTAATTACCATGTGCTATATAGATAAAGCTTGGGCAAAGACCAAACATTCTCAGATAAACCTTGCCTAGACATGTATTATATTCCTGGAGCTAGTTGTATGTATAATTTGTTAGTAGGCTGTTCAATTAATATAGTTCACTGTGTTTTTTTTTAAACTATCTATGCATTATTTATCCCTCACATTGTCTAACCCATCCACCGTGGTTTACCCATTTAAAGTGCCCCCATTTTTCCCAATTCTCCCTTAATACTACCCTTCTCCTATGGTCCTACCTCTCTTGGGCTCCTTCTTTCCCTTTATCCCCTAGATTCCTTGTATAAACTTCCACCCCCCCTTAAAATAACCCCATTTTATCCATATCTACCTTATTAACACCTATTTTCTACTGTTCTTCACTTTCAGATTATTTCTTTTCCTTTACCTTCTTGCTTCCTCTTCATTATCCTGGTTCCTGTCGTTATGTCTGGATACATACTCACTTACAGGATCCACATGTGAGGGAGAACATACGTTTTTTTTTTGTTTTGTTTTGTTTTTTTTTTCTGAGTCTGTGTTACTTCACTTAGTATAAGAGTTTCTAGTTCCATCCATTTACCTGCAAACTTCATGATTTCATCTTTCTTTACTGTTGAGTAAACTGCATCATATAAATGAACCACACTTTCATTATCCACTCGTCAGTTGAGGGACACTTGGGTTGCTTCCATCTCTTAGCTATTATGAAAAGAGCAGAAACAAACATGGATGTATAAGTGTCTCTGCGATACGATGAGTTCTTTGGGTGTAGACCAAGGAGTGGTATAACTGGGTCAAATGGTAGGTTCATTTGTAGTTTTTTAAGAGTTCTCCACACTTCTTTCCATAGGGGCTGAACCAGTTTGCAGTCCTACCAGCAATTGATGAGCATTCTCCTTTCCCCACATGCTCTCCAACATTTACTGTCATTTGTTCTCTTGATCTTAGCCAGTCTGACTAGGGTAAGATGAAATCTTAAAGTGGTTTTAATTTGCATTTCCCTAATTACTAATAACGTTGAACACCTTTTAAGATTCTTCTTAGGCATCTTTATTTCTTCTTTTGAAAACTCTCTGTGCAGCTCATTAGCCCATCTTTTAATTGGGTTACTTCCTTTCTTGATTCTTTGTTTTTTGAGCTCATTATATATTCTGAATATTAAACCTCTGTCAGATGTGTCATTGCAGAAGATTTTCTCCCATTCTGTGGGTTTTCTGTTCACTTCCTTGGTTGCTACTTTTGATGTACAGAAGCTTTTTAGATTGATGAGGTCCCATTTGTTGATTCTTGACCTTGTTTCTTGAGCAATTGATGTCCAGTTTAAGAAATTCTTTCCTACACCTATATCTTGTAGGTTATTGACAATGTTTTCTTCTTCTAAGAGTTTCAGAGTTTCAGGCTTCACATTGATGTCTTTGTTCCATTTGGAGTTGGCTTTTGAGCAAGGTGAATGATAGGGGTTTAGATTAATTCTTCTACAGTTGGAGATCCAGTTTTGCCAGCACAATTTGCTGAACATGCTGTCTTTCCTCTAGTGAATGTTCTTGGCCCCTTTGTCAAATATCAGGTGGATAACATTGCATGTACTCATATTTGGAACTTCAGTTTTGTTATATTAATCCACGGGTCTATTTTTGTGCCAGTACCATGTTGTTTTTATGACTATAGCTCTGTAATGCAGTTTAATGTCTGGTATACTAATCCCCCCAGCATTGCTCTTAGTGCTCAGTGTTGTTTTGGCTATCCAAGGTCTTTGGTGCTTCCATATGAATCTTAGGATGGCTTTTTCCAACTCTGACGAATGTCATGGGGATTTTGATTGGCATTGCATTGAATCTAAAAATGGCTTTTGGTAGGATGGTCATTTTCACAATATTAATTCTTCCAATCCATGAGTGTGGGAGGTCCTTCCATTTTCTCATGTCTTCCTCAATCTCTTTCTTTAAATATTTAAAATTTTCATTGTAGAGGTTTATTCCAAGATATATTTTGGAGGTATTTTGAAAGGGAGTGTTTCCATGTACTCTTTCTCTGATTGCTTGTTATTGGTATATAGAAACGCTGCAGACTTTTGTAGATTAATTTTGTAACCAGCCACTTTACTGGACATGTTAATAATTTCCAGGAGTTTTCTGGTCGAATTTTTGGTGTCTCTTGGGTATAATACCATATCATCTGCAGAAAGGGATAATTTGATCTCTTCTTTTCCAATTATTACTCCAATTTCTTTTTCTTGTCTGTTACTCTTGCAAGAATTTCAAGCACAATGTAAAAAAGGAGTGGAGATAGTGGACAGTCTTGTCTGGTTCCTAATTTCAATGGGAATGCTTCCAGTTTTTCTCCATTTAGAATGATGTTGGCTGTGGGTTTGTTGCATATGGCTTTAATTATGTTGAGGTATGTTCCCACCAGTCCAATTCCCTCTAGGACTTTGAACATAAAAGCATGTTGAATTTTGTCAAAGGCCTTCTCTGCATCTATTGAAATGACATGTGGTTGTCGTTGAGCCCATTTATGTGATTT